GAGCTTTCCACCAGGAAAGTAAACAAATATAATCATAGAATGGCTCCATCATTGCCATACTGTGAAACTACGGTGCTGCATTGCACCCGTATATTGTAAGCCGCCCTGAGCCCGCGTGCGGGGAGGGCGGGGTATAAATAAAATTAAATAAAATTAAATAAATAAATCATGGATGTTACAGATATTATTATTTATAATTGAAAGGACTTTTTTTGGGAAAATAAGCCCTAGAAAAAAACTTTCCAGGCTTGAGAATATTTACAGCTTAGAAATACTTATTGCACTACAGGTTTTACTGAAGTCAACAGAAGGGCAGATACTGGATTTGAAAAATTGACACTTGCCCCTGATCTGGCAGATAAAGGCATTATCTCAAAATTGTACTCTATTTTAACCAAAACATTAATTAGAATAGGGTAACAATTATGAATATGGGAAAGAGATCTTGGGCTTTCTTTAACTGATAATGACTGGCATAAGGTCTGGATATCATATGCATTCACCTCAGAGACACTAAATATCCAAACATTATATTTCAAAATTTGGTCAAGATGGTATCTTACCCCACAAAAGTTGCATAATTTCTGTAGAAAGATTCGAAATGTATGTTGGAAAAAATGTAAACAGGTGGGATTTTTCTATTATTGTTGGTGGCAATGCCCAGCCATTCAACTGTTTTGGAAAAAAGTACTTATGGTAATTCACAAGTTCTGTACTGTAAGAGTTAGATCCCAAACGGCTATTACTGGATTTACCTTCTTGTAAGGATACTGATACACCAAAGCTTAAGCTTATTTCAGCTTTATTGGCAATGATATGTTTGTGTTTTGCAACAAACTGGAAGAAGGATAAACCTCCATCTTTAACACTGTGGAAGCTTAAAACTTGGGACGTTATTGTTATGGAGAAGATTGCTCTACAGATTCAGATTTTAAGTTATCTTAATTTTTGGATAAGTGGATGCCTCTTATTTCCTATTTGGAGGGAATAAAATGTCATAAAGAAGAAGAAAAGAGAAGAGATTGGATTTATACCCCGCCCTTCACTATCCAAAGGTGTCTCAGAGCTGCTTACAAACTCCTTTCCCTTCCCTTCCCCTCCCCACAACAGATACCCTGTGAGGTAGGTGGGGCTGAGAGAGCTCTGACAGAAACTACTCTTTTTCAAGAACAGCTCTTATCAGAACTACGGCTTGCCCAAGGTCATCCAGCCAGGTGCAAGTGGAGGAGTGGGGAATGAAACCCAGTTCTCCCAGATTAGAGTCCATGCGCTTAACCACTACACCAAACTGGCTGGGGAAATCCCCTCCAAATATAGATTTCTTTTTTCATGACTGTTCAATCCATAGTTCCCGAAAAAGAGTATTTTATCTGCTTGTACTAATGAGCATAGGACTCAACATCATGTCCAGCGTTTCCACCTGTGGCTTGGGGGCAGACACGCACAGTACCTGCTCTTTTCAAGTGCGGCCGTGGACAATAGTTGGGGGTGGGGCTTCCCCCACTGGCCAACTGGCTGGCATCTGGGGGGAGCCCCCAAAATCTGGGTATTCCCCACCCCTACCTGGGGACTGGCATCCCTAAAATGGGTCCATATTGAAAATTAGACAAATTGATTTCAGCTACATTATGGATTAATAGGCTTATGTGTACTAACCTGGGGGAATAACCATCATCCACTACACATATCTCTAGGGGAAAATGTGTTCTGAATTCCAACCACCCAACTTTCATGCAAACTTCTGGAATGCAACCAATTCATAAATTGGGGACATATTGTATTAGGAGGTACAAACCAATCCCAACCTCTCACTGCCAGATAATAAAACTATTATCCATGCAACTGCAGTCATCTATGTTTTAACTAGTCATTCAAATTCTGATTGCAAAATTGATTTTAAGAAGTCCTGAGGCGTGTCTGCCAGAATGAAAGTGACAGTAATTATTTAAGCAAGCACATTAATTAGAGTGTGAGAGCCTGATCCACAATTCTTGTTTTATGACTAGTTAAACAGCAAGGAAGACACTGATGTCGTTTTTCTATTTCAGATTATTGCCTAATTTGTAAAGAAGAGAAATGATCAGCCATGCAGTAGGAAAATATTTTATCCTTAATATAATGAAGACATTCAAGTGTTTACTGAGCAGAGGGTTTCCATGTATCAGACCAAGTTTTAAAATTAATATTTATAGAGACAATAAATTCAATAAAATTACAATATTTTTCAACTGGAAAAAAAACCTAACCTGGATTCAGCAGCAACTACAATGTAATTAGGTTGCCAGCCAGCAGCTGGCAACTGGCAGGAGTTGGAGGGGCATGGGGGGCATGGGCACAATGGTGTTATGTCACTTTCAGGGAAAAACTGTAAGTGATTTCATGCATCTGTAGGAATTACTGGGACTTTATGGCTTTATCATGGAATTTCCAGCAATTCCTGGGGAGGTCTGACATAACTTCTGGGTTTTCCCCACACACTGACAGTGATTTTTTACTTTATTTTCTTCTGCCAACTACTGGAACGGTGGTTGCTAACTGGATCTGGGAGCTGGAGATGTCCCACCCCTAAAAGGTACCTGGCAACTTTAAATGGAACCAACCATATCCTTCCCCTGTACTGAACATTTGCATGTTTTTACTGATATTAATAAGAGTTGTAAAACTATCTCTAGTAAAACATCTCTAAAATCCTGTGCACAGGCCTGAGTGCCCATGTCTACAATGTAAGGCTATCCTAAGAAGAGTTAGATCTAATCCCATTGCCTTCAATGGATCTAATATTACTGCAAGTTTGCTTGGACAACATTGCCCCTCTCAGATCATAGCAACGGGTTCACACTACAGTCTACCCTATTGAATTTTTCTCAAGTCATGTAAAGGAAAGTATTCATTATTTTATGTGATTTTGCGGCTATTTTGGAGACCTGAATACTAAGCCCTATTTATGCCAATTTGTTCAATTGTTATTTGCACTTTTGCTCCTTAGAAGAAGAAACAGTTAAATTTCCTCTCACCTGGAAGTTAGGGATCACCTTTGAGAAGCCTTGAAACTGTATTGGAACTGTATTGGAACTATATCCTGCTAGTGCCTACCACTCCAGTCACACCTTGAATTGGATATTTTCTTTTCCTTATTCCTCACACAGTTTCCTTATTCCACACACATTTTAAGTTAGGAAAGATATCATACGGTATTTTTTTCATACAGATGACACAGTCGCAATGCCCACAAATTAAGACCTCAATAACTAGATTTCATCCCTATTATAGTCATATGAAAAGGCCACAGTTAAAATCTGTCTTAAGTGTAAGCCTTAACAAAAAATTAGAAAACAATATAAAAGATATGACTACAATATGCAGTATGTGTGTGTTCTATATCTATATCATCTATATCTATATCATCTATCTATTTATTTAATTCAATTTGTATCCCACCCTTCCTGCCAGAGCAGGCTCAGGGCGGCTCACATTAAAAGACTAAAATACAATAAAAGACTAATTCCTTACATACAAACACCTCATAAAATTCTTATACAATTCACAAATAAGTGCAATTAAAGTGCTAGTGGCAGTAACTCTTGGCCCTGATGTTGCAGATGTAGTAGGAAGTATGGCCAAAGGATGTTACTATTGACATCGCAGGCAGATGCAGTAGTCGTGAAGGGTCTTATCCCAGTTCAATGTTGTTAGTAACGACTCCCTAATTGAAGGCCTGGTGGAAGAGCTCCATTTTACAGGCCCTGCAGAACTGTAAAAGGTCCCGCAGGGCCCTGATGTCTTCTGGGAGCTCATTTCACCAGTATGAAGCTGCTACTGAGAAGGCCCTGGCTCTAGTAGAGGCCAATCTGGCATCTTTCAGTCCAGGGAGAGTCACAATTTTGGTCCAGGGAAATATCACAATTCAATATAGCATTATATTCAAACCCAATACAGTTTCAAAATATGGTTTTATGATTACACTCGTACAAATGCAAACATACCAGCCAAAGCAAGTGAAAATACTTAATAAATTTTACAATATTGATATATAAAATATTCAGAAATAGGCAAATTGTTTAAAATGTCATTAAAATTTGCTATGAAGGCTTACGTAACAGAGCATATTTATAAACATTCTTGGATAAATCCCTTGGGAGGCAGAATGGATAGAGAAGTGGCTTTAGAACTTTTTCCTTTTAGGACATTGTCACCTGAATGTTTGCAAACAATGCCTCCTAAAATACAGCCACTTCAGTTTTCTTTCTGTAAACAAAAAAAAGCATGTGAGGCATAAAACAACCCCTTACAAGCTACTGATTTTGCAATAGGGGGTGCTTCTTTGTCCCAGTCAGTGTTTCATACTGGCAATTTATCTAGAGAAGCACTGAAGTATCATAGTTGTAATCTGATGAAAACAGTGGACTTCTCCACAGAACATTTACCTCACTATGGAAAGATATATGCTAGAGGTAGAAAAATACCAACAACATTAGTAATAATGATAGAACTTTTACTTTACAGTTTGTTCATTTTCTAACATTTGGGTTCAAAGTTTTGGTATTGTACAATACTGGTGCCATGAACATGGATTTGTTGGCTGACAGCTGGGATCTGGAAGTGAGCTTGACACAGTGAATACATCCAAAGAATGATTTGTGTATGACTTTTCATATGTTTATCACAAAGGGTTATAAATCAGATCCTATGTCATAGTTGCACCTTCACTTGAATTTTGCTGTTGTCATCCTAGCGCATAGGCTCCGCCAATACAAACCAGCTTAATTTCTAAGCACAATAATGACTTTTTAAATTTAATCCATTCATAAAATATTTCACAATATCAATTTCATCCCAAATAAATCTTTCCAATTAAGGATAACTCCCCAGGAGCATGTTTTATGACTTAACACAAGCTTGCCATGTGCTGGTGCTATTAATTTCAATGGGAATCACACAGGAAAACATACTGATAAAAATGTGCTTCATTTCACCATATAAATATTTCAAATCTTACTAACCTGAATGTAGTTGGATACTAGTTTTTTCTGTCGGGATGCTTTTTCCAAAAAGGTCCTCTGGAGCACCTTGATGTAGGCTTGGTTGTCTCATAAAGAGTCTGGAATGTTCAGATTCAAAACACATGAGAGGGTGTGCTTCCAAATCTCTATCCAAAGGGAGATTTGTATTATAATATTTTGAACTTTGAGGGCTGCTAAGCCCAGACTCTTCCACAGTGTCCGGCGTAGGCAATGGAAGTATTCTGTGGTGGAGCTGTGGGCTAGGCAGTCTTGAGGACAAAGGAGGAGACATCTGTTTGTGTGTATTTGATGCTGGATATGAATTATTAAAAACATTACTAACTGCTGCTAAAGGAGGAGATGGCTGCCTTTTATCTTCTTGTTTAACATTGGTCCTTGTCTGATAATTATCAGGATACAAACCTATTGGCAAGCTTAAAGACAAATGTTTGCTGCTCTCTTGGGGGACTGCAGGGGTTTTTTCATATCCCAAGACTGGTGGGCTCCTTTCTGCTCTTGTAATATGCTGTGATCTCTTCCATTCTGCAGTTTCATCTAACCTGTCATTCTGTATAACTTTCAGTAGGGCTTTATTGACTGCTCCCGCTGGCTTGCATGATTCATCAATAACATGCTCTTGTTCTCTTTTATATTGTTGAACGGAGCTTTCACACTCCTTCTCTTGTATCTCAGTGGCAAATACACTATTAATACATTCTTTGCTGCTGTACAGTCTTTGGCCAAATTCTACAGAGGTTTTTAAAGCTCCCTGTAGGTGTTCTGAATCTTGTACTTTTGGCAGGTCTCTGACATCAAGTCTGATGTTGCCGATCTCTGCAATACGATTCTTACTGTGCAGTCTTTCTGATGTAGCAGCCATATCAAAGGCCTCAGACTTGTTGGGTGCTGATATTTCTTGGAAAGTGTGCATTACAAGGTTGCTTGGCTGCTCTTGCATCACTTTCAGGGTATCCTCTACATCGTCTAGCAGACTATGGCTGGAATGCGCAAAACAATGTCCCAACACATTATTGTCATATTCAGACAAAGAAACAGAGTCTGTATCAGAGCCCAAAGCCCGACTGTCCTCAAGCAAATGCCAGTCTCTTCTTGATCTTTCTGGTGGTTTATTCTTATCTAATGATAAATCGTCTTTGCCTTCTGTCTTTGCCTGATAAGGACTGGAAGAAATATCACCAGGATGTCTGGCAGAACTCAGTTTGTCATATCCCAACAGAATGTCTTTGCTTTCCAGTGCTGAATGATCCAAAACTGCAGGGACCTTTCTTTTTATTTTTTTGTTTATAAAATCTTCAATGCTTTCTCTCCGTTTGCTAAATTTCCTTGTCTTTTTGTTTTTCAGGGTTGGCTTAATTTCCATGGATCCCAAAAAAGCTTCTTGTTGATCCCTGAAACCCAGGATATCCTCATCTTTATATGCGAGGCTTTGAGGCACTCCTTCTAGCTTTCCGTCCTGATTTCCCATTTTAACTCCTAGAATGTGGCTGGAACTAAGCAAAGTTGCTAATAGCTTCTCCTTTTCAGCATTTAGCTTATATAGCTCAGCGAGAATATCCTTAGTAGGAGTCTGCTTGAAGAAGATGTCTCCAATGTTTTCATAGGATTGCCCACTTGATCCTGCCGCGTCTGAGCCTTCCCTCACTTGATAGCAGTTATGAAAACATTTATTGGATCTGTCTAGAGTAACGCAGCCCTTGTATGTGAATCCTCTGATTTTTCCCTTTGGGAGACAGAAACTGACGTAGCAAAGCTCCATTATGGGTCTGTGCAACTGGAGTACAGTATGAGTGCCTTCCATTGTGTTTGCCTAATTTTTCATGCATTTAAGTTATGTGGCCAGTATTTCTAGCCTTGCGTGACACACCATGTGATGCAAGGAAAATAAAGGAGGCATCTGACTAATCTTCTATGGTAACATTTCCTGTTAGAAGGGAAAAGAGAAACTTGTCAAAATCAACTATGACTCTCCTCCCTATCTCCACCCTACGTACAATAAAAAATAAAATACCCCAGCTCCTTTAATCCAAGATAGATAATGGCTTTTGTCACAAGAGTTGTGATGCTATTTTCATTTCACATAATTATTATATATGTTATCTATAAAATTTATAGCCCATCTTTCTGCATTGATCTGGGCTACCAAGGCAGATGACAGATTAAAAACATGTGTAATAAAACCACTTATTAAAACAATTAAAACCAAAAACACATCATTAAAACAATTAAACCAAAGCTAAATATACATACAAACACAAAAACAACAAGGCAGAAGGGAGCGTTCACTTAAGGAACACCAGACGGAACAAGAAAGTCTCTACCCACTGGCGGAAGACAGCGACAGAAGGGGACAGACAAGTCTCCACGTGGAGACAGTTCCAGAGTATCAGTCAAGTTACGACAGAAACTCTGCTACATCCCAACCCTCAAACCGTATCATTGCTTCAGAACTATATACACATTTTGGCTACTTTGTTGAACATTAATATTCCAGTCAATGAAAAAGTTCACCCATTTTTGTGGCATAGCTTTCCAACACCATTTAACTCTACTTAACCTTTCCTAAACAATAGATTGCTACTAAGAATAGATCAGAATCTGAGGTAAAGCACAAATTCATACAAATAGAATGAAAATAGAAAAGAATAAATAGAATAAAAAGAAAGCAATTTGGATTTAGATATGTACCAGCTGCCTGCTTTGATTGATTGTAATGAGACTATTTATCAGACTTCCAGCATTGGCAGTTCAGCATATAATAAATGCTCGAGAAAATCAAGCACACAAGTCACATTGGCTTGTGCCTAATAATCAGTGGCAGTGGGAGAATGGCTTGCTAATGGAAATTGCAGTGGAATTTCCATTTCTATCAGAAATGGTGGGGCGGAGGCAGTGGAGACAGCGTAATCACAGACAGCTCTGTGAAAGCATAAGATTGTTGCATAAGATTCACACAAGATGGGAAACGATCAAAAAGAATTCCAGTGCAAAAAGGAGTCAGACAAGGTTGCCTTTTGGCTCCCTTCTTATTTAACATCTATGTTAAGTATGCCAGTTTGGTGTAGTGGTTAAGTGCGCGGACTCTAATCTGGGAGAGCCGGGTTTGATTCCCCA